TATTATTATTATTATTATTATTAAAGACATAAGTTTGTAAATTGTGTCAAATCATCAGATCATCAGCATTTTAAAAGAAAAACTCCTGGAAGAAACGTCCAAGTTCAGGATAGAATTTATAATGTAAATTTGTAAGTTGTTTTAACTCAGAGTATGAAGTTCAAATAACAAGTAATCATTAGTTAGACTATTGGTGTAACTTACATATTTAAGTTCAAATAGAATACAATTGTAAGTTTAACTGACAAGAGTACTCAATTTTTTGAGAATAGATAATGTTCTGTAGTAAGTCAGTTCAACTTGTAATATCAAGTATAAACAATAAATTATCATCAATTGAGCTACTTTTCTAGCTTGCCATCCTAAGTTGAGAAAAAGCAAATTTTCAAGTGGAGTTAACTTGTATTTTTAAGGCAGCTTTTGAACTCAGGTTTTTAAATTTAATCACCCTAATTCTTTTCACAGTGTACTCTTTCCGATTATGTAACATTCTGTTTCTTTCAGTTGTGTTTACTTGTACAAAAATGGTTAAATAAGCTTTTGTTTATTCTGCACCTTTTGCATATGTGTTGCAGAATAGTTGGAAATTACCAGACTCAATATATCTAAAAACGTTTAAATTGATACGAGATCTGTGCTTGCACATGTTGTTCTTTTTGTTTTTAAAAGCGTTTCTTATTCATATTTGAATGTGTAACTACTTAAATGTATTTACTGCAGCATATCTTGGGCAGGACTTCCTTGAAAAAGAGGTTCTTAATCTCAATGGGATTTTTAGGTTTAAAAACAATAATAATATTGATCAGCCATCTGGCTTGAGTGTGTGAGGTTTGAAAGAACAGTAAAGACATTTTGTCCACAGTGTAGTAAATCAAAACATGAAGCATGGAGGTGAAGTGTTGATGATCTGGGCTTGTTCTGCAGCCACAGAGCATCTTGTAATCATTGTATCAGTCATAATTCAGGGTTTCAATTCTTTGAGGATTTATGGAGTTTGTGTTTACGTCTTTGTTCTTTTATTCTGTCATTGTGAACATGTCTCCAGGTTTAAGTTGATAAGGTTTTTAAATTCTTGATTCTTTGTTTCACCTCCAGTTTCAGCTGCTTATTGTTTCCCTCAGTGTGTGTAAACACTTCCTAGACTTCTGCTGCTTTTTTCCCAGACTGTTGTTATTTTTATAGTTTTTTTTATTGTATAATATCAGTTCTTCCACTATCCACTCCCAACCAACAACCGAATGCTCCTTTTTGCCAAAGTATTTTAGAGTTTGCTCCAGATGGGTCCAACAAAAAGACAATCATCCCCAAGATACATTTAAATCAACAGAATGGAAGACACATTTGTCAGTTGTAGAGTAGGGGTGCAAGAAAATATTGATACACTGAAATATCGCAATATTTCATTTCCCGATACTGTATCGATATTCTAAAGCCCTGTATCGATTTTTTATTAAGGTTTAAAATGTCAACTTTCCTGCCAGCCATTCATTTTTATGTTGTAGTTCAGCCTCTGACCAATAGTTGGCAGCAGTGAGCCAGTCGGCTCACTGCTGCCAACTATTGGTCAGAGGCTGAAC